ACATAAACATACATTCTATTTGTCTGCAAACATTAGTGCATAATTTCTATTTATTTGCTGAGTTTAACATATTGGAAACAAATAAAACACAAACCTAAAATGTGCCATAACTTTTGCACAGGCCACATTTTATATAGTTGTTTTCCCACTATGTTAAATTCAGCAAATAAACAGCAACGGTGCATTAAAATGTGCAGAAGTGTGCTGTCTGTAGAGGATGTGAACGTTTGACTTAGAAAACCAACATGTAATTTGACCAGAGGTGCCCAGACTTTTGCATATGACTGTATTTATGGTTGTATATGAGGCAGTTCAATTTTATAAGATGGCTATTTCACAGTCTTGCATAAAATTTATATTTTTCTTGGACATATCAATTTGTGTAATATCTAATAGTTTTGGTGTCAATAATGTAAATACATTAAATTCTAAAAAAATCTAATATCTAATACATGCGGGGAACATGAAAAAGAGGATAAATGCAGCTTGCAGTTTTCATATCAATATGTTATGTCTTGTTGTGAGGGGCACTGTGTAGATCTTCACTTTGCTGTTGCTTTTGTTTGTTTGCTGCTTGTTGATTTATTCACAGTTCTCTTGTGAGCACTGTCCAGCATTCTGCGTCTGGTATGTAAATGATACTTCGGACTCAGTGTACTTCAGTGATAACCAAATTCACGTCATTGCAGTAGCTGGAAATGTAGCTTTTATCAAGAGAGCCATCAATAGAACTTGCCATGCAACTGTGTTCAAATGAGAAGGATACAGTCATGGAGTCATAGCAACAGCACATGAGCAGCTGGACTTAGGCTGCAACTTTGGATGGTTCAAATGGTCAAACTAGGAAAATGTGTTAACAAGACCATAGACAATACTTTTTTTAACAGCAATAAAATATTAGCGTTCTTAATCATTAATTGCTAACACATTATTAAAGTGTTAACTTTGACCTAACTAGTGTTGTTGCACCCCTCCTAAAACACATCTGTGGTCTCTGTGAAATAGAGTTCAGTATGGCTGCAGGAAATTAACTGATTAGTTCCAGCACATTTGATTTTGGTCTATCACTGAAAAATTTAATTTGATGCCCATTTCTACAGCAGTAAATCAGATGGCAAGAGGGAGGTTTTTCACAGGCCTCATTCACCAACATTTGGGTTTGGTTCTCAGGCAAGAACAGAATCTGTGCACACTCAAGAGCAGAAAGGTATGAACACTTCTGCGGTTTAAGAACAAATCGTCAATCTGATGTAGACTTTTTCTTAGGACCTTTCTCAAGAACAAATAAAAGAAAAATTAGGAAGATATTGATGAATGAGGACTGTTGTTTTTGCTGTTGCAGCTGTTATTTCAGATTTTGAGTAATGATTCTTTTTATGTTGTTCTAATCAGCAAAGAACGTACAAGCGTTGTAGTACCTAGCAACAACACATTGAGTTAAGTAGTAGTATCTTATGTGACTATTGGTTTGACCTTTTGGCATAAAGCAAAATTCATCAGTATCAGTTTAGTTGTAGAGTACAGTCACCATGTAGGTCAAGAATTGTGCATTCAAAAAGACCAGTTTTATTAACAAAATGTAAATAATGAAGTCACATTACGTATGTATGAGTGCCTCACAGTCTTGCAGGTTAGTGCAATGCAGGCATGACATTGTAGAACGAAGGCCTTGTCTGTGTATTGCCTTACTACTGTAATGAGGACAAGATGGTAAAAGCCTTCTGTGGTTCATAGCTGCAATAGTAGCATGTTTGTGTAGCTTCAGCATGAAAATAGAGCCCAGCATTGTATCGTAGTTTGATTATGCAGGTGTCTCCCTGCACTCTTGTTAGTTTAAGAATACAGTATATGGTCCATGTCTGTCACTCTAAGTAATGGGAAAGTCACAATGAGCTGCTGTAAGCAGAGAATTGGTCGAGGAACACTCAGTCAAATTCAGTGCACACAGTGTGCAGTGGGTCCATAAATGACACTGTGGGGAATCAGGACCTCGCACCAATATTGTATAACATTTGCAATGGCCTACAAATTCAGAATACAACATTATTAAACTGAGATAACAACAGACAAGCTGTTTAGCTGCAATATGCTGACACATTGAGAGGAAAAACTTTTTGGCACCTGAGCAGAAGGGCCACAGGTCAATCCCATCAGGCTGTGCAGCGGAAGTGAGGCTGCCCTGGTGTAAGCAAGGTGATAAGATGCTGAGGAAGCTTGTGAAGACAAATGGGCACGTAGCTCTAGACCCCCCCCCAGCACCACCCTGCTGTTGCCTACTGATAATCACACAACCTCTGTGGGGTTCCTGCTGCAGAAATGGAGATGAAACGAGCAGGGCCACGCTATTATAGTCCAAAGTTGTTTTCTTTTTGCTACATATCCAGCTATGAAAAAAAAATGCTGTATTATGTGCTGCCCATGTTGTCATGTTTGGTGAATAGAAAATCAAACTGCCCTCGGCCATTCATTATTATTCAGATATGTATTTGTTTCTTTGTAATTTTAATATTGTTTAACAGCAGGGGAACAGTGCAACTAGAGGAAAGGAATAGCTGTAATAAAGAATACACCCCATAATTTTCTTAATTACAATAAGTAATTTTCTCATATAGGCCATTCTATAATTAACAGCACTCCTCCCTATGGCTGGGTTTATAATAAATGAGTCTGTGTGAATCACCTCATCCATAATTTCATAAAACCCTGTCTCCAAACACCTAGGCTTATACAGCCATTAACTGAAGCTCAATGTAGTAGCCTCTTTCTACAGGCCACCTGGTGGCCATTCTGCTGGTGCAGTAGAAATCGGCCTGGGATGTTTTTAATTAATCTAATCAAATAGCATATTTATTCCATTTAACTGGCTTATCAGATTAACAGGAACACTATTGGCTCTCTGTGTGTGAAATGTGTTGAGCTGCTAGCGAGCAATGATGGGTGAAAGAGGAGTGAGAACTACTTTGTTTTCTCTTGTAAATCATATTTTCATTTCCATTAATGTCACTGAAGAAAAAACCTGTCGTTTATCGTTATTGTTATAAATGATGTCCCAATATGCTTTCCTGAGCATATAGTAGATGTCGTCATTACTTAAAGAACACTGACTACATGATTTTTTATTTTACAAAGTAAGCATAATTAGGCTTGTTTAACTGGATTTAAAATATTGACTAAATATTGTAGTTGTAGGTTTATTATTATTATTATTATTATTTTTATTGTAGTATTTTTTTAAATACACTACAGGTTCAATTTTGTCAGTTTCAACTTATTGAATTTCAAAAAGTAATATTATTGTGATGCATATCGTGTATTGTGAAAATATCTTGAAGTATCGTATATCTTTGCCATATTCATTGAGAATCAGATAGACAGATTGAAGGCTGTGGCTGTCCTGCATAATTCAAAGTGATCACAGATAAATTTTGTCATATTTTTTATTTAAATATTTTTAAAAGCAACATAGGTTACTATTGAGTTCTTCAACTCGTCTGTGATGACTTGGCATGAAATTTAAGACTTTGACACGATGCTGTTTTGACTGAGAGTATTGTGGCTCACGTTGATTTCCCCAAGTGATAAAGAAAGTGGGATGACAGTGAAGGCTATGTTATTTTGATTTCATGCGTGTTTTGTCATCTCTATCTTAGGAAAGATGGAGTCGTCAGAAGCAGCAGCATGCTCCTGAGTGTGCGCTGGCAGTGAAGGAAAAAACACCAGCCGCCAGTCACTCACTGCTCAGCGGCTGTAGAATAATGAATGTCCAGGCTGATTGGCATTCTCAGCAGGCTCGCGCCGATGGTTTCCCCTAGAGTCGGCAAGAACGCCCGCCACTGCATCCTCGGCCTTTATGCAGATCTGGGCCACTTGCCAGAGCTGGGCCCAGAACAAGGGGCGAGGGGTTAAAGTGACAAAAGCAGGGTTTAGTTAGCGGAGCCGGCTCTTTTAAGCAGCGTTGCACAGAGACCAATTATCCCTGGGGAAGATTTTCCTCCGCTCTCTAAAGATAAAAGATTGGCATTCCTGCATCTGAGTATGAAGCGGAAATAAAATTGAAGGTACAGTGCAAAAACTCGGATGAATGGTGGTTGAAGTCTTATGCGAGGCCACGGAAAATTGGAGGAATTTTCCAAGCTTCCGCCATCTGTGAGGGCTCGAAAGCTTTTACTTCACATCTCACGCACTAAACCGAGTGCACATTCATATTCATACGCAGTCTGGTGATTATACTGTTAGCCCTTAAAATTAATCAGTGCGGGGCTCAGCTCGTGTTTGCCTCTGCTGGGGCCTCGGCAGACAGATTTCAGATGAAACAGACTAAGAGGAAATGTGGGCCACAAAGTGAGTCGGCTCGACTGATTGGCAGGAGCGCAGGGCTCCGGGAGACGGCCCACCCCTAACTTCAATTAGGCTCCTTACAAGATTTGTTTTTCAAGTTTTCCAACTCATATAAGCATTCTCCTCGGATTTGAAATAATGAGCTGATTAAGTTTTGAGAAGTGCAAGTCATTTTCTCAATTGTGAAAAATGCCGCCCTTCAAATGAGTTTCGCAAAATCTGAGTATGCTAGTGTTAATTATCATACATATTATCAATCAACGAAATTTAGAATAATTAACTAATTAGGCATTCATAATATTCAGCTGCTAAATTGTTTTATCAAGAGAATGCTTTAGAATTAGAACAGTTATTTAATCCTGGGACTTCCTAGGAACAGACTAATGGCGACTCAACCCAGCTGTGATAAGTTAAGACCAGTGGACTATATCCCCCTCAGATAAGGCCACTCTGCTCCCATAAAGAAGGAGCAGAAAATAGAGTAGAGGTGCCAGCTCTGCCAGGGAGACTTCCTCTCACCTTAATGGAGACATACAACCAGAAAAACCCTGCCCATACCTCATCCATATTTTCCCTCTGGTCTCCAACTCAGGTTTATCACCAAGGATAAAAAGAAAGATGTGCCTTGACTTGTAACTATCTGCTTTCTATTTTCACTTCAGGTTCCCCGAACCACTGAGTCTGTAGAGGAGTGTTCTCCGCCTCAGGTACTTCTGTCAACAGGAAATGGAGTACAACTACCTTGCCTTCACTTAATCCTTGTGCATTTTCACTGCACTGAAGCAAAGCGCCAAGTTGTGAAGGAATCACGAGGTTCTGTTTTTAAGCAGAATGCAAATACGGATTCCTTGAGGAAATATCAAAGTTACATTACATAACCCGCTCTAGCGGGTTAGCGCTATGCGAGCATGACATTATAAGAACCGAGGCCTGTTTGTGCCTTCCATTGCCGCTGTTACAGGAGGGCAAAATGGCAAAACCTTTCTACAGACTCCAGCGCTTCTTGCGGCGGACTCAGTTGCTATTTCTGTTCCTGGGTGTGGCCTACATCATGGCAGGAAGCGTCCTTTTGCTTCAGAGATCTGGACTGGTGATATCTCAGCGTGGTAGTAGCAGCACTTTCCTCATTCCGCCCTCACTGCCTTCACCTCCCAGGGCTCTGGAGCCTCCTGCTCTCAGGACAGGCTATGGCATGATGGGTCCTCGGTTCAGTATAAAAGGCTATCAGGGGAGTCAGTCAGAGGACTGGTCTGGACCACAGTGGCTGATGTCACGCAACCAAGAGATCCGGCACCTGCGCAGACGGTGGTTCCATAGCCTTATGTCTGAGCAGGACACGACCAGAGTTGAGAGAGTCAGTCCGAAGAGGAAAGTCAGACACAAAGGTAATCGTCATCAGATTTTCAGATGTTGTTTCAGTAGTTGGTGATAACTGGAGTGTACAGATGTACTCTATATGTCCAAAAGTGTCCAGATGCCTTTAAATTACTGACAATTGAAATGCATTGCCAGTAGAATGAGATGCTCTGGAACAGCCGCACATGAGCCTAAAGTCATCATGCCCAATGTTCACATCTTCAGTTTAGTGTATAAAGCCCCTGAACATTGTGTTGCGCAGCAGGAAAATTGCATTCTCAAGAGTGATGCACAATCCAATACCCCTGGGATGAGTTGGAGTGAATCCAAACTAATCATCCAACCTGACCTCACTAATGCTCTTGTGGCTGAATGCAATCAAATCCTCACAGCAATGTTCCAACTTATAGTGTAAAGCCTTCCCAGAAGAATAGAGTCTGTTACTGCAGCGAAGGGGAGGGGGGGCAAACTTCCTATTAATAACCTTGGTTTCAGAAGAAATGTTGAATGAGCTTGTCCCCAAACTTTAAGGCGCAATGCAAATTGTGCTTTGATGTGGTCTGCTTGCAATGCGTCTGAAATTAACATTCCCTTTACTAAGGCTGTAGCTAAGCATGCCAACTGCAGTGTTTCCCACACACACACACAGGCACCCCCACCAAAGTATATAGAAGGCCATCCGATCATATATTGTCATCCAATTTTCTTGTCATTCCGTTTTAACAAATTCCATGGAGTAAATGTTTTATTTTTTTTCTGAATAAACAATCCCACACAGTGTCACTGATTCAAAGCATCATTCTTTTACCCTGTGTTCATTTCCATGAGCCACACTTTAGCCAAGTGGAAATAACTAAACAAAAAGCTATCGTGAACTTGGACAAATAACCTCCCCCAGGTTAATATGTGACCTGTGGGAAACACTGAACTGCCAATACAAATCCCTGCTTACTACTTACTGTGTTAAGCTTGTGTACCACAGGGCCTAAAAGGTGCAGTGAAATAGTGGAGCCTTTAACAAGGAGAACATGCAAGTACAATAAGACAGCAGTGTTAAAAATCTAACTTCATTCCCATCAAATATTCTTTAGGGGTGCCGTTCTATTATGGCTCAAGAAGCAGTAATAAGGGCATAACACAGCTCTTTTTAAGTGGGATGCTGCAAGTGACAAGTGACAAAGTCAGTGCTATAGGAGTAGTAGGTGAACTCTGGAGGAGTTCTGAGAATTTAAATAGTTGGTAAATATTCTGGCAGCATGTCTTCAAGGCCTGTGCCACCAATGCCTCTCTGTCTCCCAACTATACTAATGCTTAATCATCACTGGTTTTCAGAGGTGGAGAGAATTCCATGCAATGTTTTCCACCAAAATATTAGTAAAATGAGCAAAATATGTAAATCAGCCATGGTTCTAGTATCTCCACCCATGCACAATCCTACCTCAAATGCATGCATGACGTGTATAATCATGAATATCAAACAGTTTAGTACCCAACACAGACTAAACATGAGCATGAGCTCTATAACTCTTCTAAACAAAAAGCACATTTTAGACCTGAAATGGTAACTGCAGTGCTGTTTGACACATACAGTCATTCATACGCTAATCAGTGTAGCATTTCATATTGGCTGTGCACAACAGGCAGCGTGGCATAGCAGCAACAGCACATGCTCATAACAAGTCTACTTTGTGGTGCTTGTCACTTTCTGCATCCCACTTAAAAAGAGCTAAAAGCAAAAGGGTTGTGGAAATGTGCGTTTTACTGGCCATGCAGTGTGTCGCTGCAGATTATCACTTTGCGATGGTTTCTTTTTACACTGTTGCAGTCCTGTTGGACAAAGACAAGGAATGATGAATCAGCATGTAAAATCCATCTAATAACTGGGCCAGAGCAGCAAACCTAACAAAACATGGAATAGCAAGCTGCCTTTTTTAGATACAGCAAACAGTGAAACAGGAGGAACAGGAGGGGAACAGGAGGAGAGATGGAAAGAGAAAGATTAAGAACTGTTTCCACTAAAGGAACCTGAGGAAGCAACTAGAGAGTGTATTAGCATTTACACTGTAAAGAAAAGAAGTGTCTCACAGTGTTGGATCATTTGTAGAATTTATCAAAGTTGAAAAGCCTATAACTGACTAACTGACTAAATAAATTGCGATGAATAGAAGTAGTAGTAGTAGTAGTAGTATAGTAGTAGTAGTAGTAGTAGTATCAATAATATTACTATTTTTATCATCATTGATATTGTGAAATAATATAATAATAATAATCTGAATAGTGGAAAATACTGTGAAATAAGTTTGGGTTTATATTGCCTACCCCTAGTGCCACATAAGCTCTGCATTTAGGCTCAAACACCAGCTTTATCCATAATGATTTTATAGGCAGAATGCATTCTAATTGTGATTGACAGCTGACACAGAAAGGTCTCCCCGAACCTTGCTGTTCTGTAACTACTTAGAATTATTCATTAACTACTATGAATTGTTCAGAAGCTATTATGAAACAAATATAAGTTATGTAGCTATGAGTGTGAGGAACTAAAATTGGGGGCTCACATCTGGACTCTTAGAGCTTGAGGGGTCAAAAAACCCAAAAAAAGCCTGACCATTCTTTGTGTTTTTGTCCTCTATTCTTCTGAAAAGGTACCTACATCGGCTGTTTTTTGGATGATTCCAAGGACCGGGCCTTGAAGGGCATGGTGTTCTATGATTTCCGCAAGATGACCAGCACTCTGTGTCAGGACACATGCACAGAAAGGTACCTGAATTTCTCACACAGATCTGCATCACCAGAAGAAATATGTTGCCTAGAACTTCCTCTGTGCTCGACTTAAATCAAGAAGCAATGAAACAGTGTTTAGGGAAGTGAACATGCAGTGTGCAGCGCAGCGCCAGCTGGCTGGGCCCAACCTGGGATTTGGAACAAGGCCAATTAAGGGAACACCACTCTGGAGTCTGGGCTCTGCCAGTGTGGATGGTAAGGGAGTCTTTGCTGTTTGCAATGATGGAGCCAACACCTGCTCCAGCTCCTCGGCCTGGAGTTAATTGACCACCAGAGAAATTGGGTGAAGGAGTGTTGCCCCCTTTAATTAACCCGCAATGTGTCGCAGCTTATTTAATAACATGGGTGACATTTGCAGTCTTTTGGGGTGATTTAAGTAGTTGAGTGGAAAACATGGATTGCTATTTGCATTTTGATTTGGGCTGACTTCACTTATGCTGACGCTTCCAGCATGGAGCAGCCACTGAGAAAGTGCAGTTGAGGTTAGAGCTATGTAACATGGTATTTTCTGCTTTTATTTATATATTTTTTTTTCATACAGAGGAATACTTTGGCACATTAAGAAGCTCAGTATTTGCCAGCTAATAAGCCATATCAGTATTAGACCAGATTTTATGGGAACTCACTTTGAAGTTGCTGGCACAAACTGCTGATGATTGAATGACATCGATTTTAAAGTGAACACAGTGAGTTTTATGTAATTATGAGCAATATGTGCCAGTCGGTGCTTCTGTTGAGATTCTGTGCTCTAGTTTCAGCCTTTAATGGGGTTCAAAGAGAGAGAGAGAGGAAAAATAAACCCTCTCTAGAATGTCTAAGCTTGTGTCTTTTAGGCTGACCGGTCAGGAGGTTGTTTACGAGTCCAATTGCTTTGACTTAACTGTGCTTTTTTACATAATTACGTAATGTGCGCTTATAATGAAAATATGGCCTGTAGGCAATCAGTTTCTATATACAGTAGTGTGCAAACGTTTTAACACGCCTGGTCAAATTATTATATAAATATTATTTTTATTATTTAAACATTTTTAAGTGAAAATAAGTTAACACATCCTCTATAGGGAACAAACTATAATATGGCAGTTTTTTTCTGCAAATTTTAAAGCACACTTTCTGTTTATTTACTGATTTTAACATATAACTTTTGCACAGGACACGTTTTATGTTTTTTTCCTAATGTGTTAAGTTTAGCAAATAAATAATAATTGTGGATTAAAATGTGCAGAAGTGTGTTCTTTCTAGTGGATATTTTCACTTAGAGAATCAGTAAAGCATGTCATTTGACCAGGGGTGCCCAGATATTCGCATACAACATTTTAAATAAAGCCAACAAGTTAGTTTAATAATTCAGAACATAGTTTTAAGAAAATAGAATAAACTATATTTGAGCCTTTAGAAGTCACTGGTGATATAATTCCAGTCTTTCAGTACCACATTTGTGTTTGTATACATTTATTTATTTTTTATTTTTTCAATAATATTGTGACATTGACTGACAAGATCATTTTGAAACTGTTGACTTCAGTCAAATGTTCTCAGAGGATCTTCTCATCTTCTAAAGGTGTTTGTCAGAAAGACTTGATAGATGGATATCCTTAAAAACGGGCCTTACTCGTATGGTCGTTTAAGGACAAGTCTCCCTCTTTGCTCCTGCTTTAGCGGCTAGCTAGTGAGCATGTGTGGCTTTAGCAGCTAAGAGGGCAGTGAGGAAAAAAGCCAGAGCCTCTTTTGATTGCACAGGTAGCGTTTAGCTCAGTGGCTTTGCTTTGAGCTGTGTGCTCAGGCACAGCCATTAATTCACAGAAATAACAGTGGGAAAGGCTCCGTTTAGGTTGCCATAGCAATGTGTCGATGCCACATATCGAACAGGGGCATCGGGAAAACAGTTAGCAGAGGTGCTCAGTCTAATGCCAACTGAGCCTTTCAGCAGCTCGCTCAAAATGCAATCACTCTGGAGCTTTTGCACTTTCAGCGCGCATCATTGTAGGTCAGACGGGACAAGACAAGACGGGGGTGGGCTGGGATTCGGGGGGGTTACTGCTGGCAGGGAGTCATCATATAACTTCGCCTACAAGTGTCACTAGCGTGCGTCATGGACTTGGAGCTTGACGTGTATAAGTTGATAATGTGTGCAGAGTTTGCCAGAAAATACTGGCTGCCATAGTGAAGCTGGCCAGGCGGCCTGCAGAGGCACCCTGCAGAGAGCTGCCGCTACAAAGTGGCTTAGTCCAGCGCTGCAGGCCAGCAAGAGGGCCAGGCAGATGTTTGGTGCAGCAAGCTGGCCAGTAACCAACTGTTAACCCCTTAGGCTGGGATGGAGAGAGAAAGGGAGGCTCCTGGCTATAACACCACATCACTAATCAGCTTGAGCTAAGCCATGATACACGTTGATGCTAAAGGATGGATTTCTGTTTTGCCATTTTTAATTTTTCTATCGGAAGCCATTAGTTCAGAAGTCTGTTTTCACACTGATCCAAGGAGAATGAATAGCTGTTGTGGCATATATAGGAAATGTGAACAGTGAATAACGTTACATTTTTAGTATAATGTAGTACTTACTAAGCAGTTGATGTTATTTTTAAATGGAAGCAGTTTAAACTCTAAGAGCCAGATTTGTCATGTTAAACCCCTAAACTTCTGTCTTATTATTCAGCTATTAAAGGGGAATACCTATAGAAAATAGAGAATTGTTAACTGTGGTGTTAGACTTTTATTAAAGCATGGCTTTTATTTTCATTTCAACATTTGGATTATACAGAACTTTTTGGTGCAATTCCTCTTTAATTATAAGGCTTATTATTCAGTAAATACTTAGAGTTACAGTTGTATGTAAATGCTTGGACACCCCTGGTGAAATTATACATTTTATTAATTTTCCAAGTGAAATCAGCATGGAACAATAATAAATGTGGCATGGGCATAAGTTTGGACACCCTTCCAATCAGTACTTACTATTAAGCCTTTTGGCTCTGTATGGCAGCCAACAATCTTTGTTCTCTATTTAGGCTTTTTTCCCCACTGTTCTTTACAGAATTTGTTGAAGTCAGAAGGATTCATAGATTTTCTTGCATGTTTAAGATCACAAATTTTCACTCGGTAAGTTAATAGGATGTCCAAACTTGCGCACACACCACATTTTATGCATATAAATAATAATTGTCCATTAAAAATGACAGAAATGTCATATTTTAGTTTAGTCTGTTTCATACTGAGAATGTTTTAACTTCTTTAGAAAATCTTAGAAAATCAACATAATGTCCTTTCAGCGGGGGTGACCAAACTTTTGCTTACAACTGTCTTTTTTTCTGTCTCACTAGTCATAGAAAGAATATGGCTGGAAATTTGCTCAGCCGCTTGTTGGCCGGCTTTCACCAGTAACATTTTATAAGCACTAAAAGCAATAGCAAACCAGGCCCTATTTAGCTCTTTAGCTCCATCTCAGTACTGGCAAACACTTGAATGAGCGAAATCTCATTTGGCCACTGTTCATTCCTGCAGTGGGTACCAGTATGCTGGGCTGGAGTACGGGTCCGAGTGTTACTGTGGCAACCGCATCACCAGTGCACGGATGAAGGAAGAAGAGTGTAATTTGGACTGCAAGGGAGAGAAGGGCTCTGTCTGTGGGGGTGTGGCCCGTCTGTCTGTCTTCAAGGTGGAGGAGGTTCTTCCTGGCCAGAGGAGATGTGAGTACTCAGAATGGGTTCTCTATTCATTGTTCTGAAAGCTGTGGAACAGCTGGTGCACCAATAAGATGAGCACTCCAGACTTGTCACTAACAATTATAGTGGTTTTCAAAAAAGGCCAAACAATAAACAATGGACTTAGATGCAAACTACACACAGGCTTTCAAAGATTCCAAAAAGACGCCATATAAAACTAAGAATAAAACTTCTATAAAAAAACACTACAATGCCCTCCACAAATATTGGCACCCCTGGTAATCATGAGCAAAATGAGCTGTAAAAATATTCTTAATTACTTACTATTTTGATCTTTTATACACAATATTAACAGAAAGTCTCATCTTTATTTAAAGTGTAATTACTGAAACCAAAAACTAAATCTTGTCATGAAAAAAATATTTCCATATTCCACATTGGAAATACCCTTTTCCACTATCGAGGGAATTATTAAGAGGTTTAAAACAACTGGAGATGTTAGGAATCTGCTGGGAAGAGTACATATGCCTATACTAACCCCACACACAGTGATGCAGAAAGAAGAAAAGAATGCAGAAATGAACTTAACCCCCTTCTGTGAAGTATAGTGATGATCTGTGATGTCATGGGGCTGTTTTTCTTCCAAAGGCGCTGCCCAACTTGTTCAGTTACATGATATCACAGACTCCCTCAAGTACCAGCAGAAATGAAAATAAAACCTGAGTGCCTCAGCCAGGAAGCTTAAACTGTGCCATAGTTTAGGTCTTCTAGCAGGACAGTGATCCAAAGCACGTCTCAAAGTCATCACATAAATGGTTTACTGACCACAGAATTAAGATTTTGCCATCTGACCTAAACGCCATAGAAAACTTGTGGGATGAGCTGAAGAGGAGAGTCCACAGTGTGGACCTCAGAATCTGAAGCATCTAGAAGGGTTCTGTATGGAGGAATGGTCTCAGATCTCTTGCCATGTGTTCTCCAGTGTCATTAAGCAGTCTAGGAGAAAACTCAGAGCTGTTATCTTTGCAAAGGGAGGCTGCACAATGTATTCAATGAATTTGTGCCAACAATTGTGGCACACACAGATTTGAGAAAAAAAAAAAAGTTATTTCCTGATACGAAAGATGAGATTTTTGTTAATATTTAGAATGAAAGAATAAAAGGATCAGCGATAAGGAATGTTTTTATAGCTTGTTTTGCTCATGTTTACCAGGGGTGCCAATATTTGTGGAGGGTACTGTATGTGGAGAACAAAGTATATGCATGGCTGTCTATCAAGCTGTGTGTCTTACATCTACATTACCAACAAATCATTGCCATTACACTGAATATGTCTATTTGTGCACTCTCCTGCCTCTTCTGTCCTTCCAATCTTAAAACCAGCTGCTTATAACTGTGTCCTCCCAAATCTGTTCCCAAAGGCGTCACCAACATTATGGTCCCCTTCAAACATTCACAGAAGCAATTTCTCAAACTTAGCTTAGCTGCATTCAAGTTTTTCTCTTGTGCAACTAAAATGGCTAAAGGAGATATAGCTGAGGAGATTAGATAAGATAATAAGATTCTCCTTCTTTATGCAAGTGGATTAAGTAAAATGAGGAAAAACAAGAGTTTTCAAAACTGGAGCTCAAAATATTCAGCAAGATAATGACCCCAAACACTACTGAAAAGGTCAAGACAACAGACAGATGTTACCTACTAATTACATCCCCTTCATGACAGATGCTGTTTTTTGGTCTTTTTATGCTAGTAACAATCTTGAAGATCCATTTTTTTTCTTTGGCCCTGAGAGCAATACGTTCATTACATCCATAAGCAATCTGAAAGGTTGACTCAGCAGGCCACAAAACATGTTTCCAAGCCCGAAGCCCAGAGAAGTCGGCAGCATTTCTGAACACTGTTGATAAATGACTTCTGCTGTGCATAGTACAGTCTAAACTTGCATTTGTGGATGCAATACCAAATGGTGTTTATTGACAACAGTTTGTCAAAGCATTCCTGGGCCCATGTGGTCATCCCTATCACACACGCATCCTGGTTTTTAATGCAGTGCCGTCTGAGGGGTCGAAGGTCATGGGCATTTATTTATGGTTTTTAGCCTTGTCCTTTATGCACAGAGATTTCTCAGGTTCTGTGAATCTTATGATATTATGTACAACAGAGAGTGAAATACCTAAAATCATTGCAGTCCCTGATTGAGGAATGTTATTTTTAAACTGTTGGATTTTGCTGATCCATTTTTAAATTGTCCTGACTCGGCCTTTCCTGAATGATCCTTTTATACTCAAGCATGATTGCATCTCCTGTTTAAGATGTTATTTGAACATTTAATGTTTTTTAGTCTAAAATTGCTACCGTCTCAACTTTTTGGAACGTGTTATAGGCATCAATTTCAAAATGAGCATGTATTTACAAAAAAACAATTAAGTTGATAAGATACAACATTACATAACTTGTTCTTGCACTGTTATTGTTCAAATACAGGACAAAGTAGATTTATAAATCACTGTGTTCTGTTTTCATTTGCATTCTACCTGCAATTTACCTGAAGTACAAGCGCTTTTGGATTTATTCATTTCTTTTCAAAACTCAGTCTATTATCTTATATTATATATTATATTAATAATTTTAAAATTATTCTTTGTTGTGTTACAAATAATGTAATTAAAACGGTCAAAATCATGTCAATGGCCTTACTAGTGTTAAATATGTTCCCTGCTTTTTTCCTGACACTGAAATTGAATAACTCGAGCTTAATATCTGTTTTCACTGGATATGAAATAAATGAGAGGGTGGTCTCTGACTTTTACACAGTACTGCATATATATGAAGGGTTTCATTCCAAAACGCATTATAGACCATGTTCAATACCACGTTTCTTTTTTTTATGATATACATTGTTGGGAGCGGGCTTCACACACACAAGAAATGCAGTGAGATATTATGATTAATAACACATTTATTAGAGAAATAACAAGGTGTTTTTCATTATAGGCCAGCTGTTATTCTTTTCAAAAATTTGTTAGATCCAAAATGATTACAAATGGATATGCAGAGTTCTGGAATGAAACTCAAGCAAGCCATTCTGTAAAAAATAAAATGTATGTATGTATGTATGTATGTATGTATGTATGTATGCATGCATGCATGCATGCATGCATTAGGGCTGAATTTAATATATGAAAACATCTGGCAGATGTCTGGCGCAGAATTAGTTTTCCAGTCATACACAAACATGCAGAAAAAAATAGATCTGGAAAATAAACACCAGAGGGCATGCACTTTCACTTGACAAGCCAGGCTGATGCTGAATCATTTCTCTAGTCACACATATACAAGCATGCATAATCTACCAAACCACATGCACACCTAAATGCCCTGTGAATACAGCCGCACAAAGACGCATGCGCAGGAGCGCTGATATGGTCCTTACCTTGAAGCTTGTCTTGCAGGGGATTTAGAGACTGGCTCCAGCTCTATGAATAGCCATATGTCTGAGTCTGTCTGGTCCAGCAGCCTCCTCCACATGCTGCTGGCCCAGACTGCCCTGACCCTCCATCCTTGTGCAGGTGCAGGCCAGCTGGAGCTATCCCAACACAACAGCAGCTGCATCCCCTCACAGGCACTCGCAGATACAATCATTAAACCTCCAAAGCATATTTCATGTCCTAAATAGGCAGCGTTATTCGTTATTTCGAATGAATCACCCAAATTACGCTGGAAAAAAGTCCTATTTGCTTGAATACATGACTGCAAAGTCTGATTCAATTTATGTGTTATTTATAAACATTTGTGTTTGTATCTGCTAAAAAGCAAACATAAAGCAGATATGAAAATAAATGATATTTGAAATCATGTTCCAAGTACAGATTTTTCAGACAGGCCCTCTGATTCATCCAGTTTGTTTGCCTTTTCAGCTGTTTTACGAAAAAGCCATTCAATCTCGTCTTTTCAAGAGGTCTTTCAAGAAAAAAAAAACTCGCGGATGTTTATTGAATCCATTCCTCCACACAGATGTCTCACCATGGTGAATGCTTATAGATGTTAGCCTTGCAGCCTCTGAGCTAAATAAACCCCATAGCTCCTCGTTTGCCATGTACCCTGCGTTTCAAATGCTGTGTGTTTGATGATTTTGTGCAGCTGTGTCATCTTTCTTGCCCTCAGAGGATCAAACATTGTTCTGTCCGTTAGAGGCCGCAGTGCCTCTTCATTTGTTTGGAGAGGCAAACAAAAGCCTGCAGGCTTTATGGCACTAGTTAATTCCAGAGAGGTGCTGATGGGTACTGTGTCATGGCATGTCCCACAGGCAAGCTGACACATGGTAGTTAATGAATTTGTAATTGCCTTAATTGCGCAGTCCATGCACTCTTAGAGATGTGTGGGATATGGCCGAGTCTCTCCCTTGCTTCTCGAGGATGTGGCTCGGCTGTACTGGTGTTAATGCAGGTTGGATATTGGCTGCAGGCAAAGGTATTCAAATGGCTGCAGAGAATTGTGAGCCTTGCCGTGATACAATGAGTTTTTATGTACAATACTGTGCAAAAGTCAGAGACCTCCCTTTAATTTTTTAATTTCCAGTCAAAATGGACGTCAAGTACAAGTTCATTTTTTATCATCAGGAACAACCCAGAAAATTACATTAGACACCTCAACAACTGAATATATCAGATTTTTACCCTCTGCCTTGATCAGCTTCCACTCTTTTTACAAGATGTGCTTTCAGTTTTTCAAAGAAATTGGCAGGGATGTTTTTCCACAACCCCAAAGGTCAGTCACAGAAGTTGCTTACATTTTTTGCGTAATGTGATCCCAGTAATCTCAAACACATTCACTGATGTTGCGTTCTGGACGCTGGGGTGGTCAGTCCATTTTTCTGAGAACTTCAACAGCTTCTTTATTTGATTGCACATTTTTTTTGTCTATTTCTTTTCTCAGTAAGAGCTTCTTGTCAGCTACGCATCCTTTCAGACTCATAGTGTTGAGTTGTCTTCTCACAGTGGAAGGATGGACAGAAACACCTGTGGATTTTTTCAGATCTGAATCAAGAGTGGAGCTTGATTTTCTTCTCTCTCTCAAAGATGAAAGCTTTAACTACTGTTTATCTGATGATGACAGTGTTGGTGATGGTGACCAGGACAGTGATGGTGACCAGGTCTTGCATAGTTGTTAGAAGTCACATTTTCTCTATTTTTAATATACATTTTTGAAGTCCAGTTTTGGAAACTTTTTTTTCAGTTTTTCTCATTTTCTTTTGACTTTTCCCTTAGTTTAGCAAGTGCAATATCTTATATTTAATCTCCTCAGAAACTTGATCCTTATCTGGGATTTAATTTAAATGGCCTTAATTTTCATAAACCCTCACCTTGGTCCTAACCCTAACCTTAAGCTCTACTTCAACTCAAAACCTTTACCTCACCCTGGTGCTAAACCTAACCCTGTTTCTAATGTTAACCCCCACCCTAACACAGTTGAGATCAACTGAATTTGAAAATTCATAGATAAATTCATAGGGGGCTATCCAAAAAGGGTGGGACTGAAATATCTCCTGAAAAATGGTAGTAGTATGGACGTGTGTTTTGCATTGGTAAAAATGTAGCATTGCTGGGGTTTTAAACATATCAGTGACGCTGCTGGATTTCAGTTAATCAGCCAGCCAAACTGTCCAAATAACAACCGATCTTGTGGTCAAAAAACCAACTATCGATGAAGGGCTAGAGGATGATTAGCACAAATTAAATAGATGAGCTGTAGTCTTTAAAGGAATGGTTTGGTGAAATATCTAATTGACAGTTTTTTTTTTACTTACCCCAGATACAGTTGATCAGCCAAGACTTGTTTAGTATACAAATTTTGCTTCTTTAACTTAGTGCTGGAGCTGTGAGGCTCACATTGCTAACACTACACATCAGTTGGTACCCAAATGCATACCCAAAACTTCTTTTAACCTGCCCAAACCTCAGCCAGGTCTTAAGGTCACACAGACGTGTTGATGCTGTTTAGGACGCGGTATATGTGGTATACGCAGCAGGGCCATATTGTGCCGAATTCTGACCCCACCGCAGATTGACTCCTCTTCATTTGCATACTCCAGATTTGCGATTTGTCATTTCTACTATACGAATATCTTTATTTACAGTATTCAAGATTAATAGCTGTTAATAAAAAGAAACAACAACAGAACCAATGTAATGTGTGTGCTGTGCATGTACATGGATGAGAGTCGGAATTTGGCCCAGTTGTCTGCACAGTGAAGTTTTGTTCATTTTTGTAGTTCATGGTAGGTCATACTGTGTCTTAAATCACATAACCAAGTCTGCAGCACCTTAATAAAGACCTGAATGAGCTTTGATCATGTTGAGAGAAGTTTTGGAGATGTATTTCCAGAAAAGATTTCACTATTGACAGTGTTTGTTCGCAACGTTAGTGTCGTAGCTCCAACGCTAAACTAAAGAAGCAAAGTTTAGATATCAAGTGCGTCTTGGCTTGGCAGCTACATCTGGGCGGAAAATTGTGTAAATTGAATTTTTCTCCGAGCAGTTTCTTTAACTGTGCACCTACAAGATTTATCAGCATGAAACCCAACATAGTGCACCTATATCTGATGATGAGAGTAGTTACTAAACTGACAAATCAGTGTCTGATTATTTTATCTTATATTTACAGTCAGTCAGTAACCTTTGCTGCCCTTTTCCGCCTTCAGACAGGAACGTACGTTATCGTGGCTGCTTCAAGAGACCCGATAACACTACAGCAGCAGACCTGGTCCACATGGTGCAGCCCAACCTCACGTCCCATACCTGCATTGAGGCCTGCATGGACAAGGTCTGTCTCTGTTTTCTGTTCCCTCCTCTAACCTCTGCTTTACGTCCCCAGATCCCCACTCACTCTCTGCTTCTTCTCTCAGCCTAAATCAGTGGAAGATTAGCATTGATTGGCCATTCTCCTGGGGTTCTGTGCTCTGGCTAATGCTCTTCTCTAGGTATTCTGGATGAAAGTTTGATTTTTGCTGCAGCCTTCTGAAAACAATCTGCTTGTTTAAACATTAATGTGGCCCTTAAGAGAATCAATTCACGCCATAATCAATCTTGCACACTACTTGAATGCTGTGATTGCGGTGTAATCGTAGCCCCCTCCATCAGATAGACATGCTTTGTTACGCTCTGCCAGCAGGGTCAATTGATTGTCAACTGAGAAACTAATTGCGGCGTTTGAAAATGCTTTCACTTAATGGGATCCAAAAATAGATGAGATTTTGATGTAATGATGCACAGAACGGAGGATTTACATTTCATTATATATAAGCTGCAAATGCAGTAGCTTTAAATTAAAAAAGGTAGATGCAGTTTTAGTCTCTGTAAATGGAAGAATGAAGTATTGACTTCTGAGCGCAAATCATATTACCCAAAGCACAGAAAGCTGAGGAGGCTCTGCACAGTTTCTCTCTCACACATTAATTGTAGAATTTCTCTCTCATTAGGAGTTTCCTTTAGCCATGCTGAGCAGACCAGACTGTTTCTGTGGCTATGCCACTCCACAGTTCTCCCTCCATGAGCCTGTGGAAGAAGAACACTGTGCCCTGGTTAACAGCAGCCTGCCAACCCCAAAACCCAGCTCACACTTCCTGCAGGTGTACCAGACTCCTGTGCAGGGTAAGATTCAGACTCTGTGGTTTTAAAATTCACATACAAACATGCCTGCAGTATCATCGTTGGAAGAATTTGCCCCACAAGGCACTGTTTTTTGTATTGCATTAAATAATGTATGTTTTATAAAATTTCTTAGACCTGCAGAATCAGTTTTCATATTGATAGTTTTTTTTGGATATATGTTATATAGCTTTCTGCAATTCATTTACATGCAACTGTTGTAGGTATGCAATTAGAGACTGTAGCCCATCTTCGGGTTGTGCTGGCATAATAATAATAATAATAATAATAATAATAATAATAATGAGGTATACCACGTTATTAAAAAAATAATGGCATTATTTAAAAATTATAGCAGTTTTTTTATTGCATATGTCTGAAAGGCCAAATAAACACATTCCACTCATTTATATATTTCATAGGAGCTCACTGATCCATGGTGTTAGAGCTCTCCAATAGGTGATGCTAAAAGTAAGAGGGGAAAAAATCAAAGCCAGGAAAAACCTCTGAAAAACTAAGCATGGTGACCTTACGGCAATAAGCTGCACACATTCATTTTGCTTTCACTTTAGCACAAGTCACTCAACTTTGCGCTCTCAGATATCCTGTAAACGTGAATCATTTTAGCGTCAGTTAGCTGGAGGCTGTGCTGTGCTGTGCTATGTGGCACATTTGTCCTGCTAACTAAGCTATTATTAGCTTATCTAAAACGCTTCAGTCCCGAAAACCACAGAATAGTGTTTCAGCTTTGTCAGTCCAACACCAGACACTCGACTTTTGTTTTCTCAGACATTAGTTTATCATCTGTACTTGTTTCAACAGAGCACGAGTTAGTCAGAATCAAACCTGTACTGTGGTGTGTAGTCTGTAGCCTGCTCGCAAAGCTGATGTTCACTTATCTGATCTAGCTCCAGATCCAAACACCACAGAACAGGTTTAATTCACAGTCGCCCAACTTCACTCTGTCATATTTGAACCATTATGATCTAAATTTGTATCTGAGCAGAGCTCTTATCATGCTAGCTAAGCTAATGATAACCAGCTTCTCTCTTTTAGTTAGCACCACTGTTTGACAATTAGCATTGACTTGCTGAAAAAAGCACAGATCAGCATGCATTCCATGCTGGTCTAAGGTCCCATATGGAAAAATAATATATTCCAAAATGTATTTATCAAGTGTATTTTTGTGATGTATGAAAATGACCAATGTTAAATATACTTTTAAAATGCAATAATATGGCAAAATGTTCTGAAATACATGTTAGAGTTTGGAATGTATTTTGGCATGGACTGCAGTGTGTTTGAAAAGTATTTCAGATATACATTATATGAAATATATATATTTTTTAATGGGCTGGTTTATGTTGGTCTAGTGCTGGTCTGGTGCTGGTTTAGCTGGTCACTGCTGTTGACCAGCATACCAGCATCCAAAAGTACAACATATGCTGGTTTTGCTGGTGACCAGCCATGCTGGTCCGTGATGTTTTTTTTCTAGCACTCGTTCACTTTTTGGTGACCATGTAAGTGAACTAAACCTTTTGATTATTTCTGATTTTGAAATAATGCAGGATGAGACAGAACAAAAAGGTCACCTTTGGCACCTTTACCACCCCCCTCTCAATACTGTATATCTAATATAGATAGTTTGAAATGAAACACGTGGATCCACCTAATCCTAGCTCATCTTTTTAGATACGAAGCTTCTCATGGACTTGGCTTGTAACTCACTCACTCACAAACTCACAGCAGGCTAAATATTCTCCAAAGGGGAGTACTATTAGCACTCTAGCTTGGTACTTCCTGTGAGTGGTGTTTCACATGAGTGACACTGTGGGTCCTTGTTCCATGCAGTTCCCTACACTAGATCTTCATCCAGTGGTCAGTTTCTGACCTCAGAGCCACTCTTAGCTGGATAGTTTTGGTTAGTGGACCACTATCAACCTAGCAGTGACACTGAAATATACCAAATACCCCACACCAACCATATCAGTGTCACTGCCCATGACCCAAAATATATGGTCAACAGTAGCCCTCTGGTCAGAAACTGACCAATTACAAATGGGGCAGAGGCCGACTGACAAGTTGTGCACAACAACAGATGTTGTTGACATAATTGTACGCCTACAAGCTCCAAAAGTGACCGGTGAGTGGAAGTGTAATGTAGGAGTTTCTGATAAAGTGGAGGATGAGTGGATTCATTTATTGAAGTCAAATAATACTACAGTTGGTCACATCCTGTATCCAATGCATGTTTTTAGATTCAAGATGCACTGAGAGGAAGTTTCTGCCAGAGAAGTCAAGTTGGCTGGTGGCGCTATCCAGTTTCCCTGGAGCAGGCAACACCTGGGTGAGGCACCTAATTGAACTAGCCACTGGATATTACACAGGGAGCTACTACTTTGATGGAACCCTTTATAACAGAGGTAAACAATTTATATTTTCTTTTCCCCCAGACTGCTTTAATTTTATTGTAATTTCTTACTGTTTTTTGTATTTCATTGTGGATTAGACATTGTACAGATACTGCAAGCTCAGGAAACTAATTACCCATCTCTTAGAAGGAATTTGTTCCATGAGTGATTTGTGGAATAGTTACGAAAGCCCAGACAGATAAGAAAAAATAGCCTTTGGTTTTCTTTTTCTCAATATTTTCAAAATATTGATTCAGTATCTCAAAATAATGACTTACTTTATTGAAACATTAACCTAGAGCTGCACTATGTAGGATGTGTTGTTAAAATTGAAAGATGTAGCGTTACTGAGAGAAAATTACACTAAAATATGGAGTGCGTGTGCTGCTGTGAGACGCCCTGTAAAGCCTGAAATAATCATTCAAAATTCAGAGATGTTGAGTCTCTCACACAGGCTCAGAAAGAAGGTCTGGCTCGATGTTTAAGTCTCAGATGCAAAATCAACATTATACTGATGAAAATATGATGACAATAGTAGATAATTCACTTACATCCACAGAAGACACCAAGTTTTGACTGAGTTCTTTTTGATTACTCTTTAAGCATGCTGACCATCATCAGATTCATCTGCTCAGGGAATTCCACCAAAGAGGTCTCCAAATCCCATGCAGCTTTAATCTCTCAAAATAATGACTCATTTTCTCAAAATGTTGATGTAGTATCTCAAAATAATATTTTTTCCTTAGGATTTAAGATACTGTGTTAAAATAATAAGCTTTTAAATTTTAAGAAAGCAAGTAATTACTTGGGGATAATAGGTCATTATTACGAGATATTACATTATTTTGACATAGTAAGCCGTTATTTCAACATATTACGTCTTTATTAGGTCATTGATTCTACATATTCATATTTTGAGAAAGTCAGTCAGCATTTTTATATATTACATAAATATTTTGCGAAAATACTTGTAATATATAAAGTAATTATTTTAGAAAATAAGTTAGAAGATAAGTCATTGTTTTGAGATACTAAGTCATTATTTAGAGAAAATACGTCATTATTTTGAGCTACTGATTCCAGAAAAAGAGAAGGCTATGTTGAGATACTGATTCCAGAGAAAAAACCGGCAATTTTTCCTCCTCTGTGTGGTGGGAATGGGCTTCTATAAGTAATCTTATGGTAATTGTCACAGAGCATTACTGTTTTAAAGCAGGCATTCTAGCAAAAAGTAGCCCAGTACCACATCCTCATGCCACGGACTAATCAGAAATGAAATGAGCTGCTGACGTTATGATTCATTAGAGCAGTCAAATATAGAATTTTGTCTCTTTGACATTGAAGTGGGCCCTCCATTATGGATTTTTTGCTAATTGACTCATCACTATTCATCTCTTCACACTTGCTCTTGAATTTCCTATTTATTTTAGCACAGCTCCCTGGTTTCACTGTTTGTCATTTTAATATGCAGTTTTGTTGGCAAGACTAACCTTCAGTCCACTTTCACTCTCCAAACTTCATACTTTTAAATCAAAACTTTCTAATGAGTCGTATGTTTTCATTAAAGAATTTGACCTGCCTTGAACAGCTACACTGCTTTAATATCCATCACTAGCTTGACAAGGGGCTTGGGTGGGGGGGGTTGTGCGGAGGGGGTTCATTCCATTGCATTTGTGTAGCTTTATCAAAGTGTATGTGTGTGTTTGGATTGCGACACGGTGCTGTGCGCTCGCCACATGGTGTTGGCTCCACATCGTAAGATTCCATTCCCTCCTTCTGTGCAGGCTTCAAGGGCGAGAAAGATTACTGGAAAAGTGGACGGACCATCTGTGTGAAGACACACGAGAGTAGCAAGAGGGACATAGAGATGTATGACTCAGCCATCTTGCTCGTCAGGAACCCATACCGCTCTCTCATGGCAGAGTTTAATCGCAAATGTGCCGGCCACCTTGGCTATGCCTCTGACCAGCACTGGAAGAGCAAAGGTACTGCCACCACACAGCATTCTTTTATTCTGTCACTGGCAGAGAAGATCTATTGGGCTTACTCCTGTGTGCCAAACAATCACATTCAGTATTACCTGGATCAATGCTATTATCCCTCAGTAATGCAAAAGGCAGTAAGCCAACTTAAATGGATTTGCAAAATTAAATTAATGACTACTGAGACAGATAAGGACTGAAGAATTTGTGATTCTGTAGACTTTTTAACCCTTTAATGCTAAGGCAAAAAAGTGACCATTCCTGCTTGTTTGTCTACTCTTCACCTTTTAAAGAAATATTTGCTAAAAAAAAAAAATCTTTACACAGATTTTCACTGACCTCAGATGGATTCAACCAAAAAATATTTGGTGTTCAAATTTAGCCTCTTTAGTTTAGCTCTGGAGGTAAAAAGCTAACATTGCTAACCAACACTAGAAGTCAATAGTCACCCAGATCTTTTCTGTAAGTACTTCCCCAAAACTTCTTTTGACATGCTCAACTCGCATCCGCAACAGACTTTTCACTGTGGCTTAGCACATAGTGTGACTTACTGTGAACTATAAAAATATAGAAAACTTTACTGTGTAGCTGAACACAGCAGGCAGCTGACTCCTTCACATAACTCATGCATATCAATGCTACAGATTACATTTGCAATTTCTGTTTCTATTTATAAATCTTGAATTTTCAAACTGAAGATATGTTTATTAATAGAAACAACACAAATTGTGACCGTAATCTAGAATCCATATTCCTGCATGACATACATGTACACGAAGAGGAGTCAAATTCTGAGAGGGGGAGTCAGAATTCGTCACTCTCAG